TCCCCATATTAAATGTTCCACATAGTTCTTAGGAAAATGGGGTTATATTCTTTCTATACATTGTTCAATGATACGCTTTTTTCATGGAATATTGTTATATAACCTTTTTGAATAATCACAAATCTATATTGTTTTTAATGGCTACATTATATCCCACTATATGCATGTCCCATATGTTATGTAGTCCCCTATTAATGATCATTTAGGTTTTTTTGTGTGTTTTTTGTTTGTTTGGTTTTTTTGCTACTACAAGCAATACTGCAATGAATACCGTTACACATTTTGTGCTAACATTTCTGTCAAATATAGAGAGTGGAATAACCATAGAAGAGTAGAATTGCTAGATCAGATGGTATGTGCACTTTAAAGTTTGATGGATCCTGCTGAATTGCTCACCAATTTAGTTGTACTGATTTACAGTGCTGCCAATAGTCTGAGACCAATGATGTCAATGCCAGTATCAATCCTTTTCATCTTTATCTAACTGAAGAGGTAAAATATAAGTAAAATCTTAATTTGCATTTTACCATGTTTTTAATATCAGAATAATCAGCATTCACTGTACCACTGAAATGAAATTATCTAAAATTCTATAAAACATATCACAATTTATTTTTGGAAAACTGTTATTTTTAACTTAAAACTTAAGTCTATCGCTTATAAGATAAATGGGGTGGATTTCCAAATATATGTCCATTACATACTATTTCTTAGTTTTGCCAAGTGATAAAGAAAAGTGAGAGTCATCAGTCTCATGCTCAAGCCCTAGCTTTGCCATTCAGCAGCTAGGTGACCTTGGCAGGTCGCTTGCTCTATTGAGAGCTTCAGTTTCCTCTTTTGTAAATGGAGATTATACTCATTTTATTGTTTTTGAAGGTTAAATGAGATTTTAATTACAAATATTACAAACACCACAATAACAATTGCAAGGGAAATTACCAAATGACTAGATTTGTATAAGTCTTCCTTAATAATTATAAAATAATTATGTTGGTATTACCAAAGACAGATTCTATTAGATGAGTCAACAATTAATTGGGATTAATAAAGTCACCAGGAAGGGTGTATTTTCCACAAAGCTAACATACTGCTTACAAAATCACTGCTCTGGTTGTTCTGGTTCTCTACGAATACTCCTCCAAATATTTCCTAAATTATGTAGTTTCTTAGATGAAATGGAATTATCCAAATATGTAATCAACTACTCATCAAGATTTTTATTTCAAGTTTCTAAGAGGATCCTGTTTCTAAGCACACAGTAATGCAATTCAAGAAATACCACAGAGATTTCCTAGAGCCAATAAATAAAATTCTAAAATTTTACTATACTACATTGGACACTATATCCTTGATTCTTTCCCAAAACTAACACTAACCTAACTCATTCCTTCATTAAATGTCTCAATACCTAACATGCACCAAGTCCTATGCTAGGTACTTTGGGCATATAACCTGCGCTCAAGAGATAAAGACTCATATTCAAAATAAAAGGGCAAAGCATTACCTAAATGTGCTTGTGCCTTTGAAATGACAAATAACCAGCCAAAGGTACGTGACCCATGAAACTCACCTTTTGGATGGACACTGATACACTGATGGATATGTCACATTTCTCACCCCTCAGCCATGTAAAACATAAAGCAAGAAATGAGATGCCATTGCCTTATGACTTACTTCCAAAAAGCTCTCTCAATGGCTCAGCTTATCTAAGTCTTCCTCCTTTATTTTCTTCTTCCATATCATGATTTTTACTAAGTTTTATGACGATTTTTTTAATGAGTGAAATTATCTGGAAAAAATATTTTTTCCAATTTTTATTTTAATAAAAGTCAACACTGCTGTATAAAGTATTGCATATGAAGACCATTTACACAAATATACACAACTTCAAAAAACTAAACTCCAGTTTATTTCCATAGTGTTAAAAAGTTCGAGAACACATAAAAATATCCAAAATCATAGTTTATTCTTTAGGAATGTAAACTCTGGGAATACAATTAGAAACAGGTATACTTAGTATGAAAATATTAGTATCACTACATAATTAGAGGTAAAGGTAAGAGGTATACAATAAACTTCATTTATGAGAAAATAACAGTGTGTGAAACAGGATCTTGAATTTACTAGTAGAAACTTCATAGCAAGACACAGGTAGATACTCCAAAACTACTATAAAAAAACCACAAAAACATCTTCCAAATGTTCACTGCTAATCTCTTTAGATATGCACAAGGTACAAAGTATAGAAGACAACATATTTATGTTCTCTGATGAAGAATATAACAATACTAAACATAAATGTGAATAACTCAAAGTATTGAGTATAATTTTACTAAGCAACAAATCTAAAAGTATAAATTCATGCTAATTAAAGGATTAGAGAGGGTTTTTTTCCATCCAAAGATTGGGTAAACACTATTATACATTAATTTCTATCTACAATGCTTAGTTTAAGTGTCCATCAAATTATTCTTACTTTTTAAGACTTTTAAGAAAATATTTTTCAGTTACATTGTTTAACATACATATTTCCTTGAAGTGCATCCCTGTAATAAACTATACATTTATTGTGCCTATAGACTCAAATTTTAACAAACCTCTTTAAATACTTATTTAAAATTGTCTGAGGGTACATTTTTTCCATAATTTAAATGTAAAGATTTTAACACTTTTATTCTTCCAAAATAGGCAAAATCCCTTAAAACTGAAATTCTTTTTACCTATTTTCATTGAAAAAGTATTTTTTCCTTTAATTCAATTTTTTGTTTTTAAATGAGTAATGTTTGCTAAGAAGTTACATCACAATTGAAAAGGGCAATAAAGTATTGCTTTTTCAAAATGAACTTTGTCATCATTTAAGGACTGAAAATTTCTACTCTGCAAGTCTACAGAGGTCCTTAAAAAGTTCACTAGTGGTGTACAAAGGACTCCAGGTGCTCACTTGCCCTGGGTCCTCGGGGAAAAGTCTTCTTTGTTTCTCTCCCCACTTAGATTCCAAAAGGCAAATGCTGGGAACTCAGTTTCAATAGAAGATCACAGGTATTTGGGTATTTGAAGAGTGAGAGGTTTAAAATGTGGAATGGAGCTACAATTTCTGCTCAGATCCTCTGAGCGATGGGGTGTAAGGCTCCAATCTTGTGCAAAATCCTTCTCATGATTAAAAAATATATATTATTCTAGATATGTAGGAAGTCTGTGACCAAATGGTCACATCAGCATCTTTGTGAGAAAATGACCTACAAAAGCCACCCTACTTTCAAATTTGGAAAGATGAGTGGGAAGAGAATAGTAGGGATAATTACAATCATTATCATAGTATTATCCAATATTTATAATAGCTATAAAAATTTTTAAATGTATAATCCTTATTTAAAATAGTACCAAAGGTACTGTAAAAGAATTTTACTGTTAATATATACTCCAGAAAACTAACTGGTGGAAATTACTTGGAGCAAAAATTCAGGACCACCCCACTGAGTAAGCCTTCAGAGTTTTCAAAAGAATGTACATGTGCAGATTTGTTGTGCATTGTATAAAAGTGTGGTACTCCTCTGACACTTAAAATTACAGACATCTACAGCTCTGATTCCATTTATGGTTAGTAAGAAAAATATAAAATGTTACATTTTTATTGTAAAATAAATAAGAATCATTAAAATGTAGAATGAGAGGACTTTAAAAAAGTCCTGTCATTGACACTATTAAACAATTAATTTACCATTAAAACAATGATTATAATGAGCTAGTATCTAACATATTTGATCTAGGGTTGTGAGACCACTGAGACCTCTAAATGTTAGATAAGTGATTTGTTTGCACTTGATATTCTCCTCTCAAACTTTATCGTATATAAAAATCACTCGAGGCTCTCGCTAAAATGCAGATTATGATTCAGTAGATCTGGGATGACCTGAAATGCTGCATTTTTAACAAGATGCCAGGTGATGTCAATGCTACTATACTTACAGTCCTCAGACCACATGAGTGGCAATGATCTAGAATAATACCAAAATGAATTTTCATTATAACAGTTGAACATTAAAATCTCATCTCTCATTTTGCCAACTAATGACTCCACAAACTTCATCTGCAATATTTCCTAAACATTTTAACTTGCTTAAACTGCTGATCTTTTAAATTAGTTCTTAAGATTATTAATACTGTTAGTAGCTATGCCTAGGGGAAATTCTTTGATAAAGAATTACAAAAAGACAGCAGGAAATTCACAGTGACATTTTAAATTGTACACAGGATTCCTATTAAATTAATACTATAGCAACTTCCACTGTCTGGTTGCCTTACTTTTTTTTTTTTTTAACTAAAAGTTATACCAATAGATTACAACAATCAAATTATGCTAAAAACCATATTCTATTCAGAGTTAATAAATGAAAATGAGTTCATGCCTTTGAATAATTAGATTTAAAATGATAGCCAAAGCAGTTATGGTCAGAACTGCATTTATATCATAAATGTGTTAGCACTCAGTACACACATTTTTCACATATTTGAGCTCTGCATAAGCAGGTATAAGAAAAAAACTAGTATTTTCTCTGTGTGACCACAGCGAGGGACCATGAATAAGGAGACCACTGTGTACTAACAGTGAAAGAGAACAAGCGGATAGCTCTCTAGGCCTTCTTTCCCAGTCAGCTTACTCTCAGCCTTAGCCTTGCTTTCTCTCTTACTCTGAATTATTACTTATTCTTGATTCACAGGCAACCTCAACCATAGCTGAAATGACCATCACTAGCAAACACCAAACTTTTATGTCCATTTAGAAGTCACACAGCTCTCTACAGCCACACACAAGTTTGCTTAACTTCCACCATATTGTATTTTTTATATTTATTTTTTCATTGGGGGTAACTACATTGATTATTCTTTCTATTATAACAAAAACATTAAAAATAGGCCTGTTCATAAAATAAAAAACACATGTAATTTTATTCATATTTTATAACTTTAAGTTTAAGAATACAAACATAAATAATCCTAAATTAGTTAATAGATAAATGTCCTATCTTAATTTTTTCATATTTTACAGATAAAAATTTACCTAATTTCCTTCATTTGCAGACAAACAATATGGCTGACACTGGCATCTTGAGAGCTGTGTTGCAAGATTTATACAATTTCCAGGCCGCCTTCAATGATGTATGCTTTGAATTGTAGGATTCCAAACTAACTAGGATTTTCGAAGTCAAGCGGCATGGTAAGTCAGCCTTATGGCCTATCTTAGAAACTGAAAGGGATTTGCACCTGCTCAGCCCAGATAGAACACATCAAAACCACACATCTGCTAGCAACATGATTTTTGACATACAAATGTTCCAAAGATAACAATATAAATTCCTCTGTCCATCCACTGGAATCATATAATAGTCTACGTACTAAGCCACCAAGCACTTTCCAGTGCTTTATATAAATTCTTCTACTAATCTTAAAGATGGTCTGGTTACAAACATTCTTATCAGGCACTTTTCACATCATTTTTGTTTTTTCACATGCTCGTTTTTCCAAACTGACTTGCTGAACAACCAGATGTAGAATTCCCGGAGTTGCACCTCTGTTTCATCCTTTAAAAAAAGTTCCCATACATGGAGATTTCCTTTTATTCTGAAGGCCAAACTTACATCTACCAAAATAGGAGTTATTAGGGGGAAAAACAACTCACATCCTCACATGAGACGTAACCAATCTGATCAGACCACCTGCCAAAATGTATTGTCATAGTGACAATCTTAAGGGCAACAGAAACAAACAGGAGAAAAAAAACACACAGCCAAGAAATAACAAAACCATATTTCAACTTTACTGCAACCTAGACATTATTCCCTTCATAAAGCCTTCAGAACTTAAGACATCGGGGCTCTGTCAGGAGCAGGGATGAAAGACCCTGGCACTTTCATAAAGAAGCAACGCCATAATTCCAGACTCATTGGTCACATGAGAAAACTCTTACAAATTAATCTGTGGACAACGTAATGCTAATACTAGGAGGTCTCTGCTGGCCTGATTGGTGCTTCATTGGAAGTTCAGTCCTTTCAGAAACGTAAATAAGCTTTTCTTCTTGGAGACTACAAGCGGAAAACCTGTTGGCATCTGTCCCTATCCCACAGCCAACAACAGCTGATGGGTTATGTGGGACTGTGACACCACTGACTTGCTCAAAGGATTTACTAAATACAGTCGCAGCAGTCTTAGCCAAACCATGGCTGTTAGGTTTAGGCAGGGACTGGCTGGTTGTTAACGTAAGTCTCTTCAAAGAGAGAAGCTCAAGATTCTCACTTTGGGCTCTCTGAGTTTGTTTTCGAGCAAAGTGATCTTTGCATGACTCCCCTGTGGTTTCTTTTTCTTTTCCTCCAGTTTTGTTTCCTCCTGACCGTCTCTGAGTCTTTCCTACACTTGTCTTGATACTAGAATTGTGACTATTGTTTAATAAGCCTGACTGGCTGGTACTAGATGCAGCCCTGGAATAAAATCCCTCGTCAACTTCAGATATATCCATCAGTTCTTCTTGATCTGTTAATTCTGTATTTCCTAAACAAAGAAATAACAAAGATTAATTAACATTAAGTATTTTCAATAATTCTTTTTTCATGATTAATACCAAATCAATTACTTTAAATAATTAAACTTTAGCATAACTAGGTAAAGCAAAAGATTATAGACCAAAATCAAAGAATAAATCAAAACATTCTATAAAATGCCAAAAATAGTTTATTGTAATTAAATAACACTAATTTAGAGTATATTAAACAAAGAGCATGCCATAAACCACACCCCACTGTGTTTTTAGAAAGAATTTTCTTACTATCCATGCAAAGAATCAGAAACAATTAGGAAAAATACCACACAGTAAAGCTAGGGGCAAGCTCTCCTACAGTAACAAAGCAGTAGAAAAATCAAAGTTCTTACCAAAGAACTTTAAAAAAAATTTATTAAAATATTTTCAAAAAAACATTAAAGATTGTATACTATATTGTAGGTTATTTTATAAAGATAAAAATAAAGACTATAAGTATCACAAGCTC